TAAAAATTTTTACATTGAATATAGTATGAATACAATATAAATACTTACTCCGTAGAATAAATTTTAAGAGGTAAAGAAAAAAAAATTTTGGTTAATTATTACACTTCGTTTGATACGGAAGGAACTTCATGCTTTTTTCTCTGTAATTACTTTGGCACTAATATAACATATTTTATTATTGCACTTCGATACAGGAATAATCTTGTTTTTATTTACAAGTAGCACATAATTTCTACCTTACGAACATATCTTAATATCATACAAATACAATTAAAATGTGAATAGATAAATGTAGGAATGGAAAAATTGAATAAAATGCACATTTTGTGAAAACATGTTTAAAAATAACAAAAACAATTTGCATTTACTTCATGTCATATTTTTCTCAAGATCTGTCGTTAATGAGTAATAATAAAGTCGTAATATTTAACTATTTTTTAACCTATTAATTATTAAACATATAAAAAGTTCTCAAGTTTAAAAATTTTCGTGGATTAAATAGCATTACATTTCGACAAAATCGATAATTAAGTGTTAATTAGTACGTGCACTTTTCAAAAACAATATATTTTATCAGAGAGAGAGAAATACATATTGCAGATATTTAAAACAATATTATGTAATATTAAGCTTTGATATGTTGAATACTGAATAGCAGATTTAATGTCTCTTATTTGTGTATCATTTTATTATTTTTAACTGTAACGCATTTAGAACCACAAAAATTTATAAAATAAAGAATTGTTTAAACTCGCAAAAATGTTTTATAAGCAGTCAATATAAACAAAAAGTTATTAATAAAAAATATATAAATGCGAGATTTGTTAACACGTTAAATACAAAAATAAAATAATCGCGTAATTCCATGTTGACAATACCGCGAAATATATAACATTAAATTAAAAATTTTGCAATATTCTGAATACTTTTAAATAAACTATATTGTAGTGCTCATAACTCTCAGGTTTTGGAAAATTATAATAATTTTAAAAGTATTCTATAAAGTTTTAGCTTATATAAAAGAAAATTTACATTATATTTTAATGTACGCCTGTTAAATGTAAAAAGGATTGCAAAAATATTTTTCTTCATTATTTTTGCGTGCATGGGTTGAACATAATTAATTTGATAAAAAAAACATGACGATTTATTTATAATATTTTGTTATATGTTTTTGTCATATGTAATATAATGATCATATGTGATGTAGATTTTTAAACAGAATATTAAACAATTAATATTTACGCATATAATTTACAGATACAGCGCATGATAATATACAATATGAAGTGGCAAATCAAGAGAAAGATGATCTAATAATTCTTTACTGCATGAAGAGCGATATTGGACAACATAAATGGTACAATTATGATTTATACATTTATTTCATGTATTAGTAATAACTTGATGCGTTATAACTTTATCGTCGCATATAAAAAAAAATAACAGAAAAATATTTTAGCAATTAAGTCACAAAATATTTAAAAACATTTTTATATAAAACAACTTTTTTTTAAATAAAAAAGTGTTATCTCTCAACCCACTTTCTTTTTCCAGCACCTCAACCACATAACATATAACTTTAGTTTTAGATTACTCATTTTCCGAATTTTCCAGACCATCAATTAAAAATTAGTATAAATTCTTAAGCATTACAAAATTTTCCACGAATCAGAAAACATACAATTTCAGTTTGTATGTTAAAAGATCGAAAATGTCTTTTCGGATTAGGCATCGTAAATCTGTGGGTCGGAAAATCAAGTCAGTATTTAGAGCGGACAAAGATAATAATGTGTATTTACTTCTTTTCCCCGTTCCGCTACTATATTTGTGTGCGCATGTGTATAGATTATTGTAATAATGTTATTATTATAGGCTGATAGGTACATACAAAACAACACACAATAAAAACAATAACATAATATTAACGTGACGCTCACAATAATAATGATAATAATATTAATAATAATATAATATAATATAATAATAATCTTAAGAATTTTTTTAATAGTCATAATAAACATCATCAGTGGTATATTTAATAACTAATTACAATCAACTTGCAGCAAAGCTTTTCGGACTTCACGGTAAACGCGCAACAGGATCGCTATACCGTCGGATCAAAATTTCCCATTTAACTATTCCGTTTGAAATTATTTATTTCGTTATCATTTATATTGTATTATATTATCGTCGTTACATAATTAACTGTTACAATACCGTGGCAGAACTATACAATTGTCCGGAACTCAGTCTCTCACGAATTCAAATTCACTCTATACGATCCACGTCTTATTATCGCGTTTTTATTTCTTGATTTAGCCGCGCATTTATCTGCTGCTGTCGTTCGCGGCTATTTCATAAACGCTTAAAAATTTCCAATTCGTGGTTATCTTGTTTTTTTTTTCCATCTTCTCTTTCTTATTCACGGGTTTTCCATCTCTCTTTTCCTTCTTACTCGCGCTCTCGATTCTTCTTTCTCGCTCTCTTTCTCTATCGATTTTTCCAGTGCAAGGCCTGTGCCTACTTTTCATTTTGTACCACAAAACATACATTCGTATCCACAGCCGTGTGACACGTTCGTGTCACCACACATGAAACAAATGTACTCCTGCTTACAGAAACATACGTACATATATGTGCGCGAATATACCTACACGTACACATATATATACACACACACACACTCGTTCGAACACACGCATACATATACATACACAAAATACACGTATATAATATATTGTAGCCATTCACACGGACTCATTAGCCCTTTGTAATTTAGATAATGTTGCACCTTAGAATAGAGATCCAGTGAGATAATTTCTTTTTCATTTAACACCTGATTAGATTACCTACTTACTTGCTGCTGTTCTGTTCAAAATTGTGTTCCAGCCGCGCTTAGGACTTCGTTCTAATACGAGATCGATTTTCTCTTATTACGTTTCTCGTCGTGAAAGACATGAGTGCGAGTTGTAAACAAAAGATGTAAAACGACCGGAAGATATCTGTCGTGACATATCCATCGGATATATTTACAGAGATTAATACTTGTGACATTCACTGACACAAAAAAAATTAATGCATATTATTGATTATTAATAATCATGTATACATAATTATTGATAACTATTAATCAACAAATACATCTTAAACATGTTTAGCTTTAAGCCAAAAGTACAGGATACAACCAATAAAAACATATCAATTCCATAATTAATTTTAATATTAAATTAATTTTTAATATTAAAACTTAACAAATGTCGATTTAGAATATGAATCGATATCATGTCCAGATTTTATTGACGAATACTTAAAATATCCAATGGTAATGAAATATTATTACAAAATACGAAAATTTATCGAAAAAATTTTCGGCACCGGTTTTTTAACTTAAGCCAAAAGTCTTTTTATCACGTGTTATCAATTATTATCATAAAAAAATAATGCAATTACACTATCTCGTCAGCAAGTAATCAAGTTTAGAGTGTTAAGTACCACAACCTTTTTTTTCCTTTCACGGCAAGAATTTCGCCCGCGCGCGAAGATGAAAATACTGAGCCTACGATCTTAACCCTGTATAACATCATAATTTTTATGAAGATCCCAAACTCAGCCTAGAATGGTACAATAGAACACTAGTCTGGCTACTAGGTATATTTTTAACATAAATCGCTTTCCTTCAATACTAGTATAAGAATTATAGGTACTAATTTGCGATCCTTTTTAGGCGATTAGTACAACATGTGGACGTAACTACCTAATTTTTTGGATGCGTTTGTATTCTACACTGACTTGAAAATTTACCATACTCTTTAATTTTGTCGCCTCAGGCAAATAATTGAACAGCACAAAAGAAGGTATTTATCTAACAAATTACTTTTAACCTTCATTCTTGAATAAAAAATCGTTATTATAAGTAACACATTATTTCAGTACATGTAAACTATGTCACAAGTTCGTTTAAATCACATATGTGATGTGCATGATAATTTTCATTTAAATTTAAATATCATTGAAAACAGACTTTTTCCCGCAAATCTAGCTGTTAATAAATTTTTTATGATCTACATTTCAAGAAAACATTTTAAGAAGATAATATAAACAAAAAACAAATACAAAGAGCAGAAATGACGAGCAATAACAAAATTTTTGCTAATGTTAACTTTTCAGTATTACCTAGTTGTACGATAGGTAGGTATTCGATAAGATTTGCAGATCCTTAACGCGATCATATATAACCCATACCGAAGTGGAAAATTAATTTAAAGAGCGATACACATGCATTTACGCGAGATCAGTGGAGTCCACTTACCCCTAAAAGCGACCCATCCGCTTTACAACTTGCTATTCTCGACGGATCGTCCAGCCCTAACTGCAAAATCAATGGTGTCTGATTGAATCAGCTTCGGGTGTAACTGCAACGATACATTCCAATCTCCAAATGTGCGACCCGGGCTCGATAATAGACGGGGATGTGAGACGGAGTAAACGAGTACATGATACGACTGAAGGAGGAAAGAGGAGACTCTGGGCGGTGGGAGGAATAGGGGTACATTAAGTGACATTAATTACCTCTTTACTTTATATATATATATATATATAACTGGAGAAAATACTACCGAATTACGAATTGGACAGATTGCTTGGTGTCGCCCGATGACGTGTACTATTCGTAAAATACCGACACCCGACACCGACACTCGAAAAGAGTCTTCGGGCCGCTTGAAATAATGGCCCCAAACGCGCCCTTTCTATACAACAGCGAAATTTTCGCCTGATTGTGAATAATAATAATATAATTAATAATTAATAATATAATTAATAATTAATAATAATATACTACGCGCGAACTTTATCTTTTTCTTAGTAGAAGCAGTCTTTGAACGGCTGCTCGACAGAGTCCATGAGTTTTCATCGAATTCCCGTGGACGTGGATATTGATCGACGGTTTAGCGGGATCGCCTCGGTTTATTCGAAGCGTCTCGACGGGTTTTCTCTGGGGCGTTCAGTGCGTTCAGGCGGCCAAGCCGTGAGGCGTTTGATGGAGGAGAGCGGGATACTGTTGAGCCACGTGCGCCAGCTGATGATGATGGCTGCCGGAGTGTGCGTGCGTATGTGTGTGTGGATGGACTACGGCCGTGGCGGGCGTTACAGTGCCCGACGACGATACGTGAATCGGCGGCAGCGGCGTCTGGGACTGCGGTGCGTGGAGGCTATGGCTGTGACCTGCTACCAGGCTGTTATGGCTGCCCCCGCTGCTGGACGAGGTATGACTGTGATGATGATGCCCGAAGACGACCCCAGAGAAGGCCACGGGTCACTGATGATGCTTCGTGGAGCCGTTCGCGTGATGCGCCTGCGCGACCACGTGGTGACTCGAGGGTGGTGCGTGTGCGGTGCTCGGATGGTGATGACTGCCGGTCGCCGCGTGGTGATTCGCGTTATTGGCGCTGCTGCTGTTGTTGTTGTTGTTGTTATTTTGCTGCTGGGACTGCCGCTGGCTGTTCTTCTTATTCTTCATCCGACGATTTTGAAACCAGATCTTGACTTGGCGTTCAGTCAGATTTAGGTTGCGCGCGAGCTCCCACCGCTTCTGTTTCGATACGTAGGCGTTAAAGAGAAACTCTTTCTCCAGCTCGAGAGTTTGAAACTTGGAGTAGGGTTTGCGTTTCTTCCGCACCGTCACCTGGCCCGTCCATTCCAGGGGGTTGGAGCTGCCGCACCCGACGCCCATTCCCGTTACACCAACCCCGACTCCCACACCCGCAAGCGAACCTGCGGGAAACAAGGAAGATGGGGAGGAACCCCACATCACTTAACACAATTAGTTTGCCGATGATAAAACAACCTAGCTGCTAGCTAGTAATATTCAGCAAGGAAAATTCTCTCTCAAAGGCGAATGATATCAATTCTTAAAATGAGTTTCGATATTACGTGTGCTTTTGATTTTACTAAATTTATCTTAGTCCTATTCGGATTAGACAATATAATCATCAAATCAATCGAAATAAATAAATCACACTAAATCAAATATTATAGACTTTATTACCGCGCGCACGTGTATAGAAATTAGTTTCTAATTTAATCATTAGCATATTCGAATAGATTTTGAATGAAGAAAGTGGTTGTATCTGTTTCTTTATCATAATTGCCATTTGTTACTACGAAGTGACTAGCAAAAATGAGCGCAAATACACTGGTTCGTTAGTTGGTGCATTGGCGCGTAACCGATCCCGTTACTCTTTCTTTTTTAATAAACGTTCCGTAATCATTCATTAGAAAAATAATTCTGCCATTTAGATCGTATAATAAATCAATAAATACAGACTGTGTTTATTTATTGCACGAATTTATCATCACGCGTATATAAATCGCGTATATCAATCCAGAGAAATTATTGAATATGAGAAATATCCTCGCTATCGTGATTCTAGAAAAAGTGCCTTGAAAAAGTCCTAAAAAAGAGAGGGGAGTAGATATTTATACATTTAGAATTAATCACATTAAACTAAAATGTTAAAATCGCCGTTAATTATGAACGTAAAAACGTAAATATTTTTTCATTTTTTAAATTCTTATAATGAATTATTGAACAATACATTCTGTGAGATCTGTATTACTGTTTTTATGTAATAACAAACATTATTTCGTCAACAAATATTATTAAAAAAATATTGCTGAAAATTTTCACATGAAAAATGATAAATTTAGCAGGTATGATTTGGCATTTTCTCGAAACTCTTCGCTCTCCATTGTGCTCGTATTAAGATTTTGCACGAGGAACTAGATCTGGGTGGGGTACATCATCAACTAAATCCGCGCCTGATGCAACTCTCCGAATGTCAAAGCGTGCACTCCAGCTGCATGTGCGTGCGCAACATTATTCATACATATACACGCGTGTATATGTATACATATGTACGACATGCGTACGAGGGTTGCCGTGGCCGTTCCTGGCACAGTGGTATGATATAATTGGACCGGTTCTACTAACCACACGAAAAACATGAAGCCGGAGTTAGCGCGGAACCGTTGTTAGGCTCGTTCTCTAGAGCGTTTCGACTGGTCGGTGGTTTTTAACAGAGTACTCTATATACTCCGTTGCAAACCCAGAATGTGGAGCGACGCGAATGCATTTGTTAAAGCGGAATATACGATGGGATGGTGCAAGGTACATACGGCACATCCGCGCCAGTGGAATGAAGCGATTACGAAAGCTCGCGACTCATCCGGCTATCTTTAACCCAGCCATGGACTGGATAAACGTCTTCTTGGTGTACGCAAATGCAACAAAATTATTTCTATTTTGTCGGGTTGTCTGGCGGTATTTCATATTTTTCACATGTATAGAAAAAAGGGGTTGTTTCGCGAAGCTACTACATTTTACACCACAAAATGTCAAATTGCTCCCTTTTTTTTATCATTATCGTGCGAATATAAAATTAATTAATGATTTATTTAATGACAAAACTAAATCTCAGACCAGAAAACTTTTTAATCGACTGGATCGAATCATCTATCTTTAGACAATTTGAACAAATACTGCTAGTATAAGATCAAATGCAGCTTTATTTGATCCGTCGGAACATGTGCGTATAATGGACGTTATCTGCGCATCATTATAATATCTCAGATGTCACGCGGGTATTTTTATGAATCTCAGATGACGGTTCTCTAGATTTATTACTATTAAAGCTATAATTTTTCTCGCAGCTTAAGTCGTAAAATAAAAACACATAAACGCGAGTCAATTAACATGCAAATTATTAAAATATGTGTGTTGTACTATGATATCTTAAATATCTTCAACCATAAGATACGCGTTTGCGTGAACAAACGAATGAGAATTTTGCTCCTCGAGTTTTATCCCTGTTCAATTCTCCATTTTCTTCTATTCCATTCTCGAGCCTTTCTCTATTCTCCTTTCTTTATTGATAATGTTCTCTTGTTGCCTCAATGCGATTGCTTAAGCGATAACAATTTATTGCGCATTAAAACTATAGTACGAGTAACTGACCTTTGTTTAAAATATTTAACAAAGGTCAGTTACTCTTATTAAAAAATGTAAAAATATTTAACAAAGGTCAGAATATCTGTAAATTTCAGAATATTCTATGTAGTTTAAGATTCAACTATAATATATAAAAGGTGTATATGTATAAAAGATTAAAGGCTTAAAAAAATGAACACATTAAAAGTTCACATAAAATAATGTACAGCGATGACTATCGATCTAATTTTCGTACAAATATATTTCTAATTTTTGAAATTTTTTCCAGCTAATTCGATGAGATAAACGCCATAACGGTACATATTTTTTAAATAAGAATATGATGATTGCATTAAGCAATATGCTTAAAAATCAATATTATATCTATCTAATCAAATATGAGCCAAATAAACAAAATATTTAAAAGTATTTATTGCAGTTAATAAAATATTTTAAAAAATCAAAAGATATTTATATCTAAAGTTATTAAAAAAAACATTCTAAAAGATATCAATAATTAAAACAAGTATTCCTATAAAAAGGTTAGTATAATATAGGGAGATCAAAAAATGTCTGAGATTGTTAGAAATTGTAGTAAGTTTCTCGAATTGTTACCTGATTTCTGATAGAAAAGGGTCTATAAGTTTGAAATTGTCGCATGTAACGCGAGTGTAATATCGATTGCGTTCGCGACATCTTTCATAATCTACCACATTTCTGTTATTAATCTAAGTGAGTTTAAATATAAATCAAGGAATAAATAAATATTTTAACATTTGTTTAATGTAAATAATCTATAAATTCGATATTTTGTATTGCAAATACTGAGCGCAATGGAAATAATGAATTATACAGCTTATTTCTAAATATTTAGGAGAATAGGGTTACCAAAGAATTGCAGTATTTCTAAGTAACTTTTTATTTAATGACGTAATTTTATCTCAACGAATTAAGTAAATAAAAACATTATATATTCTTTTAAAAATTAGCAAATAAATTGCAAACTTCCATTTAAATTTTACTATTTGTACGAAACGGAATAGAATATTTATTTCATGGTAAAATCGATGAACTTGATAAAGCCATACTTTATGCTAAATTTATTCTGGCCCATGATATAAGTGCGCATAATGATGACCGGTAGGCCTCAAAGGCTTAATTAAGCGTGGATACCAATCCGCGGTAATAAATGCGGACTGATAAATAGCTTGATGAGCCACGTTCTTTCGATGATGCGGAGATAATCTCACGGAAGATATCGACATGTGCCGGGCACATCTGGCAGACATTGTGATTCCTCGGAGATTACCTGGACTAATATGGGATGGTTCGGCGCGATACAGTGGAAGCGACAAACTCTCTGGTCTTCGAGCGAACGAGCAAAGATAATGGACCCGCCATCTATTGGGCTACGCTTAAACTATACGCGGGTGCGCGCCTGCGTTTCACTATTTCGGTATGTACGGCACGCTTGCACGCGCCCACACACACACACACACACACACACACACACACTCACACACATATCTGCCTTCCGTGCGCTTACGATTAGCTCGCGGCTGATTACGCGAATGTTATCTCGGTTATCAAAGTGCCGTCAATGGCGCTCGCACGAGCAACAAAGTAACGATAAAGTGCTACAACGTGGCGCATATTGCAAGCAAAACACGACGAAGCATTTTCAGAAGGACACGACGAACGAACGCCGACGATCGATGAGACGCGCCTTCTCTTTATATTTCTCGCTTGATATGAAATTCAAATATTTCCACACGAATGAAAAGTTGGCGTTGCCGTAGCGATATAATTATGTTGAATATAATTTACAATCTGATATATCGATTGTATCGTAATAAACGACGCGTATCTATAAATTAATGCCACTTCTGCAAAGTATTTTATTATCACGGTGATTTATATACCGTCATAATAAGTATTCCGAACAAATGCTAAAAAATAGGAAGATTAATGACTCATTTTACAAAGTATATATATTTAATGTTTGCTAAAAGATATCTTTTATTCCAAGCGTTCTCGCAATGGTCGCAAGTATTTTCCTGCGGAAAGAACATTACCAAGCAGCACGGCGTATCGAGAATAGTAATCTTCCTGGAGGGAAACTTTAGTCGATGTGGAAAAAATTATCGTTCGAAAGTAAAATAATGGGGAGATAGTCACGACAATATAAACGCGCGAAACAGCCGTTAGCCGGAAAGACTGAACGCCTGCACGGGTCATGGAACGGATCAGCTGATCGGAGGCGCGCGCCAGAGTTTACGAGTTACGGCCGCCAATAAACCCGCCGCCGTTCGTTGTTGCTCATGCGA